GATTGAAATGAAAATGAAATGAATGACTCGGGGTGTATTTCCTCTTTGGGCACGATGGTCTACATGTCTTTGGTGCAGCTGAGACTCTGCCCCTGGTGATTAAACCTTCATCAGTCCACTGGCAGGCGAGTTACGTGCACCTGAAGCATTTCTTACTATGTAAAGTTGGGCTTGGTTTATTATAATGAAACATTTATTTGAGCCATTTCCACCTCATTGGCTCTGTCCAATGCTGATTTTTGCCAAACCATTTTTGACATTTAGCAAGAAAACAGTAAGCGCTTTCTCACCAGGAGGGATGAGAGCTCCACTTTTCATTAACGGTGGCTGAACATCTCGAGCTGGCAGCGTCTGTCAGCTCGGCTGCATCACGGCTCACAGGACCAGGGGTGGACTGGAGCTCTCATTTCTTAGGAACTCATAATAGTACTTTGTTTCTGGGTCACTATCGGTGAGAGTTAGTACATATACTTTTGCAAAACCAGGCACTGGATAAGCATCTTAATTCATCTCATTTAGCCCACACATGGACATGTAGTTACCATTTTGGACTCATAAACATGTTTTTGCAAATTTAGCTAAACCTTTAAACTAATTAGACCAAGCATAACTGGGTCAGTGACCTAGATACAGTACCCTCACCTTATTTAATAACTTTCTTATGCAATCATTATTGGAAGGGAAAAGTTATTATATCAGATATAACATGTTAAATGCCCCAAACAACATTTTATTTCCAGCATATCTAAAATTGCATCATGAAAGTAGCCAATACAGTTTAAAACAGTATATCCTATATGTTTCCTGGCATGTTTTCGTCCGATAGACTTCTAGTGTTTAAGATGATTGGACTGTGATGGGAGTTATGAGCCTGTATATCCAAACGCTACCTCTCTTGTCTTCTGCAAAATATCAAGCCAATTGTTGAGCTGCAGAGTGTTTGGCTTGGTGGGAAATGCATGTGGGCAAGCGGGGGATTGCTAGTGAAACATCAGGCTTTCAAATTACAGAAATGACTGTACTAATTAACGAAGCGAGGCTCTCTCAAATATCACATTAATGTCAATGACTTTATCCAGAGGGGGTGATAGAGGGGAGTAGTGCTTTGAGGCCTGTGGTGCTTCTTTTTACAGTTCACATCATAGAAGCTCCCCACGGATATGTAAACTCACAAGACTGAAGTGGAGTGAGAAATGCCCCGAAACACAAGATTGGATTCAGTCTCTGACTATCAAAAAGATATTACATTTTTTTTACTAGCACAGTAAGCTCCTGCCCAAGGTTGTAATGTTGGCCAGTGTTTAAAAGCTGTACATCACCAAGAAGAAAGACCAACTGCCTTTAGAGCATGGCTGTAGCATATGTGTTCAGACGGATTAGTCACTTCTGCTTCCTTTGAAGGAATATTCTAACATTTAGAGAGGTTCCTTCAAGTTCTTGCAAAAAGATTGAAATCACTCTTATGTAATAAAACATTGTAAATAACATTATACTATACAATGGTACAGCTAGGGGATGGTAGGCTTAGTTTACAACCAAGACTAGAAACCGGAAAAAGCTGGACTAGTCCTGTCATCACTAAGCATTTGTCAGATATTTAACCCTTCCCAAAATCATAAACTGTAATTTTTCACTTTTGCGTTGGAAACAAATACGATGTAATGTGTTATTCTGTGAGCTTTACAGGTAGTCTGGATAATTGTCCCTATGAGAGAGACAAGCCAGCTGTTTCCTCTGGTTTCTGGGTTCATATTAAGCTAAGCTTAGTTTAACGGACATGAGAGTGTTATCAATCTTCCTATTCAGCTCTTGGCAAGGAAGCAAATTGCTCAGAATAATAAAACATGTTTTAAACATTTTCTTCTGTCTAAATTACCTTCCTACTGTTTTTTTCAGCCTGATTAATGTTTTGATTCTGAGTGAATAGTATAATTTAATTATACCATCTCTCTGTTTAATAATGTGTTTCCAGTGGGTGACATTGCAGGGTGTCTCTTGAGGATTTCCCATAAAACCAACATTTCATTTGCCTGCTCCTGATGGTATGCTTTTCTCACTTCAGAAGCAAACACAGTCTGCGACAAATACAAAGTCCTACCGCTCACTCAGTCTTCAGTTCCTGTAGTGTTCCTGACAGCTGCTCATCTTCCTCAACCTGCCAGTGAGATGTTATCCAAAACCGTCTCAGAGGAAACACAGGCGTTCATAAACTAACCTAGATTGACAGAGTGCTAACATGTCACCGAACACAAGTTCAGGTTTTCTTTGTATCTATATATAAATAAGCCCTCAAAGAATATGAACACTTACATGTTAGGGTCTAAAGATGCTGTGAGCTCATGTTATCCCACGATAACACATGAATATCTTCTCTGTTGTCTTTCTGTATCAGTCAAATGTGACTTTTTACAAACTCACCAACACTTGGTGAGATAGACAATTTTCTATAGTGAGTAAGTATGTCAATTTAATTTCTACAGCACATTTAAACACATTTTAAGGTGTCCAAAGTGCAGTACAAGAAAATAAATAACATTGAAATCTAAAGTGAAAAGTAGAAATAGAGACAAACCAATGACAACAATACACAGCCAATTTCAGATTTAGAATTATAGACGTTAAACATTTTAAAGAACTATTGGGCCTAAAAGGTCATTTGATCAAATACATATTTAGCTTGGATTTAAAAACAGAGTTAGAGGGAGCACATCTGATATCTAAAGACTACTGGTTCCACAGTTGTAGGCTTTTTCTCCTTTAGTTTTAGTTGTGATCATTGGACATATGAGAGATTTGTCAGTGAATTAAGGCATGAGTTCTAGTTGTTTCTGGGCCTTATGAGTAAGAAAGGGCTGAGAGTGATAAGCAAGGTCTTAAATTAAAACCTAAAGTAACCGTGGAACCAATGAAGAGAGACTAGGTCTAGAGTAATGTACTCGCACTTATTAGTAGAATATATAATCCAATCAGGGATTATTCGGACAACAGACATCTATATTAGTGTGATTAGATCAAGACAACACAGTGCCTGTCTTTGTAGTGAGTGTCCGAGAGCTGCTGCCAAAACAAATCGAGTCTCTGTAATGAGTATAGATGCAAGGTCATTTTGGGAGAAAGAGTTTAATTCAGGCACAGTAAACCCTGATTGACACAGCCTTTACCTTGATGAAAAATCTTCCCTGTTGTGAGTTGTCATCTAATTATAATTCAAAATGCAGGCCTGACTGATTAGCCCTTCACAGCATCGAAAACATTAGACACTTCTTTTTTTATATTTGGATATTTTTAGTGTTAGATTATAACATTCAAAGCTCCATCAACTTGAAAGTGATAAGAGATTGATGTATTTTTGGTAGTGCATTTATCCTTTTGTGGTTATATTCAGATCATAGATTGTGCCTCTTTAATATCACAAGATTGACTAAAAAGATATTAAAATATGACTGCGTATCTGTCGTTGTACAGATTTTCCCAAATCCTGCTGCTCTTGTTTGAGCTGTGCAAACATTTTTGCTCCACAGCAACAGAAGAAAGGTTTTTACCAGCGCCGAACATAAGCCTTCTGTAAATGACACTGAGTCCCCGGTGAAAGACAGAGGTCTGCCTGCAGCCCAGGAGATACTGCGCGGTAACAATCAATAGCACTGAGCAAGCATCAGAGTTTTTATTATCTGGCAGGCCCTGACTCGATCCCCCACTGTAGTGACTAATCTAATTGGAGCTGACACACACTCCCCAGCTGTGCGGAGCTGCCAAAGAAAGAGTGAAGACAGAGATGTCAGGGAGATCTTCATCAATCAATAGTCAGTCGCAGACTATTTTACTTCCATCTATCCATCCATGCATCCACACCGTCCAGTCTTGTTAGTGTGCTGAGATCACAATTCATTACCTCAGCACTACAGAAATAGCAACAAATGTGTTGCTATTTTCTCCTGTACAAACTATAGTGAGCCCAGTCAATTGTCTACACCTACTCTAAGTTGGTTAGAGTTACTTTTAGAAATATGACTCAGCAAGGGCAAAGTGTAACTATAGAAATGTTTTGGACTGTAGTTGGAACACATATCAAAACCTTACTACTTTACTCCTCCTGGCTGGAAATGATTGAGAAGCTCTTGTATTGAGCAGACAGTGTTAATTACTCAAGCGAATTAATTATTCAGCCTCTGAACGATTCAATGAAATATAAATGCCTCCGGTCAATAGTTGCCAACACTCGAGAAGACTTTGGACTCCCTCTGGGGGGATTTCATAGCCAGAGATGGGTTGCATCTTCTACGCCAGAACACAGAACGACACCGGAGTTAAATCTTGGGCTGGCTGGAGCAACACAGGTTTCATATGACCACTGCAGCATTGTCTTGGTTATCGATTGGAGAAATTATATTCTAGATGTAAACATATTAAAGTATTGATCTGTACTGTTTACCTTTTTACACTGCCTTTATGTTTAATGTTCCTGTTTGTCTACATACTTTGTGGTTATTTGCTCTTAACCTGTTCAATAAATGTCAAATCTAGGCAAAATATAAATAATACTAAAACTTTACCCAGCCTAACTCAATATTTAATTTATAATATACACACATTTTGTGGCTTCCCTTCCTCTAATAGTAGAAGTTGCTTTTCAAATATAGTCATTCCTATAATATGTTCATGTTATTGTATTTTTTTTACTTAGACTGAGAGCTGTCTCTCTGTGCAGTGATGAAGAATGGCGTACGTGATCCCATAACCCTCCACTATTTGTGTGTAATTTGGATGACTGAGGTGTATGTTCGCCATCTTGTGGTCAAAAGTCAAAAGTGCATTTTATTATGGCACAAAAAACATGAAGAAAAGCTTTATTTATCAATAAAAGCATCAATTAACTTATATAGTTAATTTAGTTTAATGTCATTTCACAATAATGATCAATCATTTGATCAATATATCTTAATCACACATCACAATAATTGACATTGAAGATGTATGGCACAACAATAACAATAAAAAAACAAATCAATTAAAAAAAACGTTTACAAACCGTCAAATAGATCATTATTATTGATGGGGTGGGTTTAAAGAAATAAAATTTAAATATTGTTCCTGGACATTTTTGTATTTGTCTCAATATGTTTACATATTTTCTTATTTAAATTTGGTAAAAAACTAGAACATTTAATTAACAGGTCTGGTTTAATCCTCTACTCTGATGTCCCCACTGTTGGTTTATTTACAAAACTCAGTGCATGTGGATGTTGACACTGGAACTTCCAGACAGTCAGGACGTTTTTCTTTGAACAAACATTCAACTAATTGTGAGCGTACATGAGCAAACACAGCGCTGTACTTTGGAGTGATGGTGGTGTGTGTTTGTGTGAGGACACCAGAGCAGTTTGGAATGGCTCTCGTTCCTTTGTCTGTCTTGTGTTGCCTGCTTTTGGACTTTCAGCTGGGATATGGAGGTATCTTATGTTTCATCTTTGTGGTGCTCAAAAATAATTTCTCTCTGGAGGTTTATCTTAGACGTTTGTCTTACTTTTGGAGTGTTGTCAATACCTGTGCTGGGTAGAAAAATGAACCAAAATCAATATACAGTATCTATACTTTACCTATTTGTTGTTTCGGCGAATGATTTGAAGACAGTTTTTTAGACTCTGCTCATATTTATATTTTTGTTTTACTCACTTTAGCCCCAGCTCCCGCCTCAGGCCCTGTGTTCCTGTCCGGTCAGGCAGCTGACAACGTTCTGCGGAGACACAAACGCTATAACACTGGTGTGTTTGAGGAGTTCCAGGAAGGCAACCTGGAGAGAGAGTGTATAGAGGAAGTGTGTGACCTGGAAGAGGCCAGGGAGGTCTTTGAGAACGATGACAAGACAGTGGGTATTTATTTACATTTGTTTTTTATTATACATACTCTTGGCATTCCTTGCTTTACTCACCATAGACTTTACTCTGTATTTCAGATGGAGTTCTGGGTTGGATATATAGGTAAGACATCCGACATCAGCCTCCAAAGATGCTTCTCTTTCTAACCTTTAAACCTTGCTGTACAAAAGCAAAATGTCTGGGTTTTTCTTCAGATGGCAATCAGTGTAAATCAAGCCCGTGTCTGAACCAGGGGTCGTGCACAGACCAACTGGGCTACTACACCTGCACGTGTCCGTCTGGCTTCACTGGCAGGAGGTGTGAGATCGGTAAGTGAAAGATCAGACGCTCAATATCAAATCTAGTCAAAAGAAATTAGATTTTTATGTTACATGATCCAAAGCTTCTCAGAACATGAAATCAGATCAGATCTCAGTCTCACAGGATAAACAACCAGACGCCTATTTTACCCTCCTCCTTTTGTTTCTAAATTCAATCAAAAGCTTGCATCCAGCATCATTCAGGTTCCAAAATTAGATTGTTTGTCTTTATGGATATTTAAAAAAAACAGCTTTCAAAGTGCCCTCTGTGAAGTGAGTGCCATTTCCTAAGTCACACTTGTATTTGACAGTGTTGAAGGTGTCCTTAAAGGATAGGTTCACAATATAAAGTCTGTCTTACAATAGGTATGAGATGTGGACATTAAAACAAGTTGTGCTTGTGTTAATGATTTCTTCTGTCGATGATGGACGTCAAAAGATATCTTCTCTATCTTTTTCAATGTAAAAGATGTGGGACAAAATACGTAGCCCTCGTTCTGTGCAAAAAAGTATTCACACAAAACAACACGTACACAGTATGGCATCAACATGTCATTGTATAATATGTACTAAGAGGATGGGTTTGAATGAATAACCCCTTTCTCCTCAGCTATAGCAAAAAGGTGTGATGTGAACAACGGAGACTGTATGCAATTCTGTGAATCAATGAGAACCGTTGGAGCAAAATGCTTGTGTGCGAGAGGATACAGGCTGCTGCAGGACGGAGTTAACTGTGAAGCAGAAGGTATCGATGTGTCTCTGATTATGTCTCTTCTAAATATCATAATAATGGCTTTTAAATTCAACGATGCGACTCTAACCTTTCTCACTTCACTAGTGGAGTTTCCATGTGGCAGAACTGCCCTGACAGAGGTGAGTGCAGTACTCTCTCGCTCTCTGTTCGGCCATGGGAATGCCAGCCTGCAGAACACCACAGCTCCGACCATCATCTCCACTACTGCATCCCCTCCTTCAACTCCAGCCAGTACCCCGGCGGTTTTCCGTGATGCTGAGGCCCCCGTGCCTATTAAACGCATTGTAGGAGGCTCGGCGGTGATCCCAGGCGAGATCCCATGGCAGGTATTGTTTAGAAGTTCAAGTATATCTGGCATGTAAGGCTTTGGTACATAAGGGAGACAGAACAGCAGCTCTATTCACTTTCTTGAACTTATTCTCAGCGATTGTCTTACTTTTTGTTCAGGTAGCCTTGGTAGAGCGTTCTGGTCATTTCTTCTGTGGGGGCTCCATCCTCAGCGATCAATGGGTTATCACTGCTGCTCATTGCCTGATGGAGGCAGGACGCTCCTTCTTCATCAGAGTAGGTAAGAATCACAGCCACAGACAAGTCTCACCTCCGCTAAGGCCGGAGGCAGGAGCTCTGTGAAGAGTTCAAATGACGTCTCAATTCATTGATTTGTTGATTAACAAGTTGTCTATTTTGATAGTTGATTAATTGTTAATTTAAGCAAAAAGGACAAGAGATCTCTGCTTCTGAGTTGTAAGGAGTTGATGCTTGTCTTATGCAATATTTGACAAAATATCTGAGGATTTTGGACTGTTGGTAGTTTTTTTTGTACCAGGCCTATTTTTCTACTATGCAATTTACATGCATGTACCAAATTATTGATAGATAAATCAAGCAAACGATTGTTGGATTTATTTGATAATTGATAACAAAGACACTTAATAGGCCTACTATAATCATACCCTATAATCATGATGAAAGCCCAAGAGTAAAGCTTTGCAGCATGTGCGTAGTCCTTGAAATAATTTCATCGTAATGTTATTTATCACACTTCCAAGGGAAATGTATGATCCCTTCTGTATTGAGACATCCACTGCATGTTTTATTTGATAGAGTTAATCTATCCACTGATATCTGTAATGTCTCTACCTGCAGGAGAGCATAACATCAACATCAAAGAGGGCACGGAGCAGGATTATGACGTGTCGGAGCAGCACATGCATCCCAGATATAATGGCACTCTAAGCTTGTATAACCACGACATCGCCCTGCTGTACCTCAAAAACCCCATCAGCTTCTCCACCACAGTCCGACCCATCTGCATCGGGCCCAAGGCCTTCACTGAGGCCCTGGTGAAGGAGTCTACCCTGGCCACGGTCAGCGGCTGGGGCCGGATGCGCTTCCTCGGGCTCACGGCGGACACTTTGCGGAAGGTCCAGGTTCCCTTCACAGGCCGGACGGAGTGTAAGCGCAGCAGCAGCGCCAGGATCACTCCCTTCATGTTCTGCGCAGGATACTACGACGAGGCCAAAGACTCTTGTCAGGGGGACAGTGGAGGGCCCCACACGAACAGTATGCACGACACATGGTTCCTCACGGGCATTGTGAGCTGGGGGGAGGAATGTGCAAAGCAGGGGAAATATGGTGTGTACACCCGGGTGTCCCTTTACTACCGCTGGATCAACTATGTGATGGGGATAACTAAACACAGGCTGGCTATTGATGTGGAAGACCCTGACCCTGAAATTGATGAATTATAGATTTCAAGAATATGAATGGTAAACAAATGTTAAAATCTCTTTTTGCTTTCTAATGTTTTGCACACGATAGTAGTTTGATAACTAAAGGCATTAATACATAATTTACATTGACCGAAGAGCCATTAAAATCCACCATGCCGATTTCATACAAAACCATTATAAGGAATACCCAGGTAAAGAAAATAATGCTATATGTGTACTTTTACAAACATTTGAAAGATACTTACGTGATTTTCTATGTCATTCGATATTGGATAACAAATATTGTGAAATAAATCACATCAAATGTATGTCATGCCTGTAATGCATTGTTTACAGTAACAACACACATCACTCCCCTCTGCTGGTGAATACATGTGATTGCAAGTAGTGGTACTCAAGCAGGGAAACAAAAGGTCTCCAACGTTAAATGATGTGACCAAAACCTCACACAAGGTAAAAGTCTGCAGTTTTATCATACAAGTTGGCTTACATTAAAACAAGAATACAGACATAATATGAAAAAGAGCAGCCTTAGGTTTAAGCCAAACATATCACTTTGTTAAAACAAGTGTTGAATTATTTCAATCACCAAAACAATTATTGCATTACATAATTGATTTTTGATTATCTTTTACAGTACTGAAGCTGTTCAAAAAACAAGCCGTTTAGAACAGTGAGTCCAACAAAAGAAACCTGCTCATTGTTTGGTTGCCATGCATTTTCATCTTAAAGGAACATTCAGCAACAAGCTCAGGCTCATCAGGATACATAATGTCTCAAGCAGGTTTTTCTTTTGTTTTCCAACCTGGAATCTGTGCAAAATCTGCAGCATATTGGATTCAATTTCCAAAAAGAACAATAACTGAATATGTAAAAGCTAAACAACTGAAAATGGGGTTTTGATGTGTAGTCAAGCGTAACTCCTGTAAATATATGGAGATGTTATTTCATTCGGCAGCGCATATATACCTCACAATATGAAGGAACAACATGACAGCTAAATAAATAAATTAACAACATAGGAAATGTGTAGTGCGCGGCAGCCCCTGCTGCTTTCAGACTCATTTCCATATCAAACAAAACAAATCAAAGGCAGCCCTCTGACTGGGGCCTCGATTTGATGTGGTAAATTCATATAAGTCTGCAATCAATATTTAATTAAGCGTTCGACACACAGGCTATATTTCATGTTGGCTGTATGATCCCTTTTAATGGGGAACCCGAGATTAACTGAGCTGTAATGGGCAGGAGGAAACAATCTGCCTCTGTGATGGAGGGGCTCTCGCAGCACAATCTCTCTCTCTCTTTTTGGCCTACTCTGTGCTCACAGCACACACTGAGGAATACATTGCCGTCAATCATCATCATGTCTGCTTGTGTCTTACATTACAGTCACTGACATGTCAACTGCTGCCTGCATGCAGGGGGTATTTCTCCCCCGACTCCCTAACACATCATACAGTCAGGAATAAATAAAGGAAATAACAGCATGAGTAAGAGACGATACACAGTGAAAGAGGCAAAGAAAAGCACACATTCGTTAGACAGTTGGTGGATTTTCTGTCTCTCCTTTCCGTCCACCTTATTAAAGTGCCAGTTGAATATTTGTGAGGTCGGGTTAAAGCGATTGCAGTATTTGATTTTGCAAACCAGTACATGTAAGAGACTCTAAAAGAGCAGGAATACAAAAGGCATTATGGCATGGCACATTTTGGCAATCTAACTCCTAGACTGTACAGAAGAGTGGTGCCTTGACAGATGAAATGTAAGAAAACTACAATGAAGTCATTCAATGGACAACTCGCTACACAAAGATGAGACACTGAGGTACAATACATGTTAAAAATGATACTGTCTATGTACAAAAATATTTGCTGTAAGAAATGTTCAGGCAAATACTGAGATACAAGAATCTCCAATACTAGCTGGAAAAGGGTTGTGAAATGAAGTGCTACGGCAGCAACCTTCCATCCTGACTTTTATGTGTGTTGCAGATGAAAAAGAGGAAGACAAATCAGGATCCACAAATCGTCTGTTGATTGTCCAAAAGAGGAAAGCCGTTTCTGAGCCTTTGCACTGGTGCCACAGCACATCTTCACCATCAGAAAACAATGGTCCCAGTAGATTGTCAATCGTAACCTGGAAGAAAATCAGGTCTGTACATTCCCACTTTTTCCTCTTTAATGATTGAACTGTGCTGGAGAAAGCAGACGTCACCGGGGAGCGAGGAGTGGGTGGCGGATCAGTGGTCAGACAGCTATGGCTCAACTTGTTCCTTCTGTTCATCGTCCTCAGGTAAATATTAAAATACATTTACTGTGTTTTCTTCGCTACGGGGAGCTGAGCTTTCTGGCCTTCAGGTTCATGGGGTCTGCAAGGAATAAAGTGAATTGTAAGAAGAACAGTAAGTAATACTATGGCTCGACATTATACTGTTTGTCTTTTGTCTACCTCCGAGTCTGGAGGAGTGTCCTCGGCTGCTGTCTATTAGGATCAGCTGCAGGCTGGTAGCTGCTATGAAGCCGTCTCTACGCTGACTCAGGTTCTTCACCAGCCTGAAGGAGGAAGAAAAGTCAGAAAAGGGTGAGAAAGAAAAGGGGGCGGAAATTAGATAAATACAACTTTTCACCACGTTAGCGTTCTTTTCGGTGTCTAACAAAAACATCACATCTCATATAGCTGCTTTAGCCAGATACTGTACTCATTCAAATACGGGATGGTTTGGCGGGTCACTAAGCCACATTGACAAGCTGAGAACTCACCAGCGCCCCTTGTTGTCTTCACACTGCAGTTGAATGATGTCTCCACATTTGATGGTGATGCTGTCTGGCCCATTTTGTAGACAGTCACCCAGAGCCATGTATCTGCCTGGAGACTAACACAGAAGGAAAGACTGTCAGTCTAGTATCTCTAGTGAGTATTTAACTATATCTAATGTGACTTTGTTCAGTCTCCAGGGTGGAAAGACTCAGTTTTATTTAACTTAAGTATTTCCACTTTCTGCTACTTTATACTTCTACTTTACAACATCACGAGGTAAGTGTTGTACTTTTCAGTCTAGGACATTAATTGTTTTTGGATCATTGTATTACTAACTGGAAATCCAGGAATACAATTTAAACTAATTCTGAAATAGATTTTTCTTTTATTATTATCTCATTTATTATTTTTTATATTATTATTCTTTTAATTACGTTCTTTCTGACGTGTTTAATTGCATAGTCCATACACATGTTTAATTTTTTTGCAAGCTTATTTGTTTGTAGCCTTTATTTAACCAGGTAAAATCCCATTGAGATCAACGATTTATTTTTCAAGGGAGACCTTGAAACTATGACTTTGTATTTTTATGGAATAACATACCAATGGTTCTCAACTGCTTTAGCTGCGACACCCGGAATAATCAGGTCGGTGTTAAACAGTGAAGATAAGATACAGATAGAAACTTTATGGTTTCATGTCTTATGTGGAGCACCTTTTATTGATTACAGGTAGGTCGTGAATTTATTTTAAATAAATATTTGAATAGTGAATCATTATTTTTCAATAGCTTTCATGACATGTGTCATGTGACTCCAAATGCATTATGATATAATAACTACACTGAAAAAATACTTCTATTACATTACACTTTCATGAAAATTCTGCTGTATTCTCTGTTATTTTGCCGTTTAAGTCCTGATTTTTTTCAATAGCTTCCATGTCACGTGACCCAATAACTCCCACGACATCCTTCAAAAAACAAACGTGTCCTACTTGTCTAATGCAGTAATTGTATTTATCTGAGTTATGTTGCATTGATACAGTGGACAAAGGATTTCTTCTTTGTAAACTATGGTATTGCTACTTCTTCCACCACTGATTGGCTCACCAGTTGCACCAAAACCTCCTCCTCTGTGTCAGATGGGTGGAAGGCTTCCTGACCTCCAGACCACTCCTGCAGACCCTCGCAGATGTCTACCGAGTTGTGAGCTCCGGGCCAACCTGGGACACACAAACTCAGGCTTTGACAGCTATTGATGAATGCATTTATCCAAACACTACACCTTAAAGGCACCACGTAGATACTTAGTAACTATATCCACATTATAAAGACCCCTTTGTCACTTACTGGGAAATTAACAAGAACGTAGAATCAAAAGCTAATGTCAGTAGTTGGACCTTTTTCCCCCACAATCCTCGATGTATCTGGTTCTTCAGGTCAAAGTGCACCTGAACTGCTGAAGGGGGGAAAAAGTCAAATACCTACATCAGTTAGAGATTATGAAGAGAATCAGCAGTCAAATACTGTCCAAAGCGTGTATGATTTGCATCAATTCCCATAACCTCTTTTATGTGATTTAGTTACCAAGTATCTACTTGATTGTGGCATAAATGTGTGTGGACCCATCACTCACTCTTGCGGTTGTGCTGGTGTTTAGGGGAGTGAGGCTGGGGGTCTGGACTGCTCCTCCCTGACTCTGTTTCTTCTGAGCTCACTGACGCCCTCTGCTGCTTGCTGTGGGAACAACACGCGTCACCAAATGTTTATATACAGTCAGCACACACGCTCAGGATAGATGTTATCCTAAGCCACGCAATCTAGGGTCAGCTCTAACTTCCTGAATCTGATCCACACCTCCAACAGTTTAGCTGGCCCCAGATCAGTGTGAAGGAGCAACTCTGTCCTGTTGTTTCTCACACATGGCCATGACCAGACAGCTGCACAGAGCACAGATCAGCCAAGTGCAAGCTTCTCTTTAAAAATAGGACTCAAGTGTTCACACATCAGAAGATCAGGTCTCGATTTATCAAGATCAAAAATGAGAGATTTTGTCTCTGAGTAAGAAGGTTTCTAGAAAGCAAATTCTACAGTAGCTGCACACGAGCCCCATTTTTAAAACCAGCTGTCATGAGGAAATTAGGGAAATGTATGGAATGAAAACCAAAAGTCTTCTTTTTGTTGCCCTTTGCTTTACATGCAAAATAGCAAATCTGAGAGGCAGAAATAAGAGGGTTTTTTTTTTTTATACTATGTTAGAAATGCCATGATGAGCTGCTGAGACACAGGCCTTTAAACGTGTGGAGGGAGTGTGGGGGTAAGTTATGAACCAGAATGGAGGTTATACAAAGAGGGTGCAGGCGACGATCAGTATGCAAACACAGCAACCCTGGGTAATGTCCCCAAGCCAGGCCGAGTGGGTCATGCCAGGGCGAGGCGAGGTGAGCCAGGCTGAGTTTACCACTGAGCGTTAGGGCAGGTCAGTGGCGCTGGGAGTGGTGGCGCGGGCGGGGCCGTTGCCGGGGGCTTCGGGGACGGGGGCTCCGG